CGATTGCGCTTTCGTTTTGGAGGTGTGGAGGATATCTTCCATGCAGAGCAAGGTGTTGCAACATCAATGTGTTCAAGGCAATGAATGGATTCGGACCCTCATTCTCAATCTGGAGCTCAAGGATGTTGAGTACATAGCCACAATACTTAACTGCATATGGTTTAGGAGAAACAAAGGTTTCCACGAGGCTGAAACCATGTCCCCAGCTGCTACCATTTTAATGGCAGGGAATATGTGCCGGAATTTCTTAGATGCTAATATGTGGCCAGAAAGGTTGTCTCCCTCCTTGTTGTCTCACCCGCTACTGGGTAGGCCACCAGCCGGAGCACATGTCTTCTTTGATGGGGCGATATCTCGGCTGCATCGTCGAGCAGGAATCGGAGTTTGCTGTTTGGATGCAGAAGGAAATTTTGTTCGCGGCATGTCGAAAAGGATACCAGGAATACAAGATCCCTACATTGCTGAGTCCTTAGCGATCAAAGAAAGTTTCTTAATGGCTAAGGAGCTGAGACTTGTGGAATTCTCGATCATGGGGGATGCCATAAACCCTATTCTTACGACTCAAGAAGCGTACTCAGACCCGAATGATCTCAAGCCAGTGATGGAGGACATCCAATCTTTGATTCAATTGACCTGTCCGATTGGAATCTTTGGGATTAGTCGTAATGACAACTACTTAGCACACGAATTTGCTAGATTTGCGAAAAACAGTGATAACGTTTGTACTACCTGGTCGCATTTGCCTGCGTCCTTTCGTCAACCGCCGCTGGACGATTTCCAATAGTAATAAATGAAAATACGTTTTTCCTTCAAAAAAAAAAAAGTTGTGAGAGTTGCATGAAATGATTGCCTGTAGATAGAAATAACTAATACTTCTTCCGATATGGTGTAAGATTTGTAGAAATAATAACTAATACTTCTTCGATATGAAATATGATTGCCTCATTTTTTGACCATATGTAGCATGATATACATGACAATTATATTTGAATAAAAATAAATATCATTTTAGTTTAATTTCTTGTCCAGTGTAAATTTTCATCAGTTTTAATTCAATCAATATTAGAACTGAAAATCCAAAATGGATAATAATTTTGGTACAGAGAAAATATATAAACTTGATTGAGTTGTTTTTTCTTTAATGTGGAGATCTTTTTCTGTTGCACATAACACATTATAGTGAAATGCCAAATGAATGATACGGATAATTTATTTTCTTAAGAAAAGATCCACTTTTCTTCGAAATCCGAGTGCATCAAACATTTTAAAAATAATTTCGCTTTAATTAGTACTTATGTTCTATTGAATTTTGTCTTTTTTTCTTTTCTAGAGTTTGTTTTCGCTTGTCCGTTTGGGACGCTAAATTATGCAGTAAAAATAATGTGGGAAGGATTCGTAATAACATAACATGACACGCAAAAATTATGAACTTAATGATTAATAATCGATTAGGATCAACTATTACAATTATTTCGACTCACAATTTTTCTAAAAGAAAATCAAATATGTTGCTGCCTGCAAAACAAATTTAATACAAATTTGGGATAGGCAACGACTTCCCAATTATTCCGACCCAAAGTTTGGTAACAAACCACAATTAAATTTTAAAATAGTAATAACTTAGTCTTAGCTCCACCGTATGATATCATCAATCATTACTGTTTAGTTTCTTTCTCTTATAATTCTTAGAACTTGGCCTGAATCAGATCCACAATGGCCTTATCAACCTGGAATGCCTTGGCTAACACATCATCACTGATGGGCGGATTTGACCCGAAAACAGAAGGTGCAATTGGGACCACACCTGGGGCTTGACTGCTCAATGCAGCCAAAGCGACCGCGTTGCCGTACCCAATGTTGCGTTGGAAGTGGATCAGCCCAATCGGGAAGATGAAAACATCTCCTTTGTACAGCACTTTTCTGAAGAGCTTGAAATCCGGCGCCGAGGTGACGAAACCAACCTCTAGAGTTCCCTCAAGAACGGTTAGGATTTCGGTGGCTCTGGGGTGAATGTGAGGTGGGTTGAGTCCCCACGGAGCATAGTCAATACGGGCCATGGAAATGCCGAAAGTGTTGAGTCCCGGAAATTGGGCGACGAACACCTGGGTCACATTGGAGCCCTGGGGGTTGGTGGTGTTTCCGGCCTTGTCTAAGCCGTGGAAGACAAAATCGTCGGCGGTGATGTCTTTAGGGTTCTTGCAAGTGAACCCATTCACGTTGACTTGGCTAGCTTTATCAGCCACGCAAAAATCTTGAAGGGCTTTAGGATCATCAGCAATAACAATGGAAGCAAATGAAATGGTTACGACGCATAAAAGGAGAACTAAAGAATTTGCCATAATGATCGAGAAGCAATGATTAATTGAAAAAGGGTCTTTAGAGTAAGTAATGATTATTAATATTGAAGCTTTGGATGAGATGAATGAAAATTGTGATGAATCAGTGGCTATATATAGGGAAGAGAGCTTTGATCAAGTTCATCAAAGCCGCCGTGTAATTTTTGCATGGACGAAATAGTCTACGGCTTCTGCTAATTAACCACCTAATCGTATATACTCCTTCAAAGGCTTTAAGAATTAAGTAAAGCTAGTGAAGAAATTTTCAAATTTCAGGTATATTTTGTTTTCGTTGTGTTGTTTTAGGTAAGAAAATGGAATTAAATATTATAAGAGTTTTTTTAAGTAGCCTGTAATGATTTTGAAAACTTCCCCGCAACCAAGAGTAGCAGTTAAAACGTAAAACTATAATATTATGTCTGAGTAATTTTTCTTAATTCCTGACTTGTTCAACTCAATTCAAACTTAATAGCTTGATTGACTGATTTAAAAACACGAAGTCATTTACGGGTCAAAGTTACCTTCTTTCTTTCTTTTTTTCCCTTAACTTCCAGTGACCGTTTAAAAATTTTCTCCCCTCTCAAATTTAACAACCCTTTAGTACAATGTGCATAGCTGGTTGCTAATAATATGTTAGGACTTAATCTAAGCCATAAAAAAAAATCCTTCCTTGTTGTGACAATTGCCCTAGCGTAGGTGAGTGGACTGTGGAGATATCAGACCTTAGATTGATCTTTTGTTCCGAAATTATTGTTTACTCTCAATTTTTATTTTGAATAGAAATTCAACTAAAAATAAACATCCGAATTCGACAATAATTTTAGAACAGAGGAAATATATACAAACAAGACGTAAGATTATATCTCATATTATGCATGTCCGCAATGTCTTTCCTACTTATACTTTAAAACAAGAAGCAGCAAAAGTATTACGTACTTATTATGTTTGTAAATCCGAATTGACAGAGTATGTAAGAAAAAATCTCACCCCGTCTTCGGCAATTAGCCGTAAATTATCGCTTCTCCAATGTTCTATTGCCATTGAAGGTGTTGAATAATTAAAAAAATTGCACAAATGCAGGTTATTAAGACAGACGCCGGCCGTACCAGTATTTGATGTAAAATGTCGGATTAGCAGGGGTTGACATACATACGTGGGTCCCCAAATATAAAGATATTTGGGTTCATAATCCCCTGTTGTAGAGTGAAAACGAAAATGAACTTTTTGCTTTTTACCCTAGAAGAAAGGCAAGTCAATTTTTATATATAAGTGCTCGGAAACTCTATAATCAAACTTGCATCCTCATGAATCTTGACATTAATCATGATCTTTCTGTTTAGCAACGATCAATATAAACTCTCAAGTTTGTGACAAGCTGTCGTCAGAACTAGTCAAATAAATTCACCTACTTAACACTAGTATAGCGGAAAATAGAGTCGTACCCACAGAGAAGGAATACTAATTACCAGGTATAAATTACTCCTATTATTATCTAGATAAATGATGATCTCAGATTTTCAATTAAAATAAAACTAAAATAAATAAATAAAATAAAAACAAATAATATTAATTCAAATAATCAGACAAAGAAAACCTAAGACATTGGGCTTACCTACCGAATATTTGGTTCGTTTCAATTCAAAAATATCTGACTTTTAACTTCCATTAATCTCACAACGATTCACCTAATTAAGAACTATACACTCTCCCGCTATAATTCTCTTACTTAGGTTAACCCTATGACTACTCTCGTGACTATAGGGATTAACAAAAGCACATTAAGATCATTAAGAATCAAATATTGCAAAGGTTATAATCTTACTCTCGTAGCTTACACCTAAGTCTATTATTCCTACAAACTAATACTAATCTTCCACTCTCGCTACTTCGATTAGTATCTTCAGACATGCAAATAGTGGCCAATTACTTACATGAATTAAAACAAGAATAACAAATCTATTCTATATATCCTATTATGGGAAAATCCAACAGCATTCCAAAAGCTGACTTGGCAAGCTTTCTTACACCCAATTCCCGCCTAAATCACTTCTCATAGTAAATAATAAAGGGGAACTAAATTACTCTATCTATAAATAGTAAAGGGGAACTAAATTTCTACATCTATTAACAAACCCGGTTAATTGTTTCTACAAATCAATTTACCAAAATATCCACGATCAAATCACTTCTCATAGTAAATAGTAAAGGGAAACTAAATTACTATATCTATTAACAAACTCCTACGGTAATTCCGGATTAATTGCTTCTACAAAACAACTAACCAAAATATCCACGATCTCTCCTTAACCATCAACCCACGATCTTCTTTAAAATCCAAATCCCAAACCAACAAAAAAAAAAACAAAAAAAAATCCCAAACCAGCAAAGGGTCTTTTTTGGCCGAAGAACACGATGATGATCACAATTCATCGTTTTCTAGCTCACCCTCAATTCGAAGTTCCCAACCCACGACCGATTCTGTGAACCGCCAAAACGGAAGCACGATTCATCATTTTATCCATCAAAAATGAAATTTACGAACGTTGTCAGTTTTTGGATCTTAGTTGATGAGAAAGATGGAGGCTTCTCTTTAAATACAAGCCCGCCCCTTTTGTCAAACACTTCATCTACATCATCATACAAGCAATTCCAGCAAAAAAAATCATGAATCCAGTCCGAGCTATGACGGCCGACAAGTTTTTTATTGATGATATCACATCACATGAGAATAATGGAGCTCTACTTGTGCGAATTATGAGTATTTGGAAGCAGCCCAACAAGTACAATCTTTCTGAAACAACTTCATTCGAAGGTATTTATCACTCATTTAGCTTTTGCAAATAAGTGGCACAAAGATTTTTTTCCTGAGGTTTTTTTTTGGGAGGGGGGTATTTTTATGGGTATAAAGTTTTCAGAGTTTTTTCAGTCGAAAAAATTCAAAATTTCAAAAGACCATTCTAATCTCTTCAACGGAATCTATAATTTGTAGGGGTCAACAATCGAGGCACAAGCCAAGAAATAGAGTATGGGAAAGTTTGAGACGATTCTTCGGGAAGGAGATACTAAACTCATATCAAATTATGGTGTTACTGTGAATTACGGTTTCTGGAAAGCTTCTAAACACAGTTGGAAAATACAACTATATAGGAGTACTCATGTTAAGTCGGCAGATCCTTTCGACATCTTACCCTACCCAGTGTTCAACTTTGAACCTTTTGAAATTATCAAAGAGGGCAAAAACGATCCAGATTTCTTAGTTGGTACATAATCACTTTCATCTATTTCATCTCAATTTAAATGGTAGCTGCCATCGTGTTTTAATTTTCCATCTGCCACTGTTGCTACTTGTAATTTTGTTGTTTTAGGTATAATACTGGGGGTATAATAGTTAAACTTTTTCATCTACTTCAATTAAGTAATTTTCTTTCATGTTTTTTCTCTGTGTGATGGGATCATAGATTAGTTGTTCTCTGTCTGATCCTTTATTGATGCAATTTGACAAAGACAAAATCTTAAATTTTTTATAGAATGTTGAATTTCGGGTACTTTGCTTTACTGCTATTGACTTCTCAAGATATGCATAATTGTAAATGAGTTCATATCACATTAATTTACAATCGTTGCATTCTATTTGTACTTTTTATTTTTCTCTTTCACAATAGTGAGCTTAAATGGCTTAGCTAAAAATGCAGGAATATGATTATGTTTCCATGGATCATGGTTTCTAAAGTTTTCTTTGTTTATAACCACTTTCATCTCAACGTTTATTTTAAATTCTTCAATTAGAAGGGTGTTATTATGTCTAATATACATCAAATTCTCTTAATTATTACAGATCTTATTGGGCGAATTGTAGCCAAAGGAGACCTCATATCCGAGGTTAAAGATGGTAAGGAACAAAAGAAGTTGCTGGTCGAACTTGAAGATTTAGAGTACGTTGGTTTACCTTATAATTTGTTTCTGCATATTTGTCAATCCATTACACAATGTTAATGTTGTGATGTTTCAAATTCAATAGGAATGAGAAACTTAAGGCACTCCTATGGGACACCCATGCTCAACAAGTTGTAGACTACTTGGGGCCTGAAAATAAAACCGATGTGGTACTCATTGTCCAGTTTGTGAAATGTGGTACATGGAATGGTATTATTATTATTCTTTAAAATCAAATTCATAATACTTTCATCATTATGACTTAGATGCACTTTGTTTAACAACCTGTTAAATTGGCAAGTCAATTGTCCATCACCACCTCAAAACTTAATGGCAAAATCTATCTCGACACTGATATGGATGTAATTCGAGATTTCAAACTCAGGTATAATCTGATGTATCAACGTTTTGAACTGTTCATTGTTTTCATGAAGGTTTCTTATGTTTGATAATATCTCCTTAATTTTATAATTTATGTACATAGGATGGATAATGTTAATAACCAACATGACACTGGAAAGTCATTATCCCTACTATCCACAATGACATCCTATGGAACTCTTGAGTCCTTCATGAAAGATGCTGAATTGATTACTGTTGATGGCATCAAGAATGTTGGGGAGGTCAGAATATTCTTCATATACATTTTTAACTACATATTTCCTTTATGTTTATTGATTACTTTTTCAACTGTTGAAACCAGGCTTGTCATTTCGTTACTGTGGGTAAAATTGTTGACATAATTCAAGGTGATGATTGGTTCTACGTTGCTTGCAGGAAGTGCAATAGAAAGGTTGATTTTGATGTCATAAAATCTGATGGTCCTCTACCGGATGGCCAATTTTCTATTGGACAGTTTAACTGTCCTCGCTGTCCGACCAACAAAATTGTAGCTTTTCCAAGGTACTATCTATTTAATTAAATTAAGTTTTAAACTTTCTATTTGGCTAAACGTCTTTTGTTTATCGTGGATATGCAATACATATAAATTTTCATATTCAAAGTTCAAACCATTGTTGTTGATTCAACTGGAATTATGATCGTAACAATCTTTGATAAAGATATGTTTCGCCTCATTGGAAAAAGTGCCTATCAGTTGAGAGAAAAGGTTAGTTATTTCCCTTTTTTATTCAGATTCTTTTCTGTTTTTATTACAACTATCATTAATACCATTGCTGCTTACATTAGTTTTAATTCTAAATTTGTTTGACAGTATGGGAATGTAGAAACATTTCCTCCTGAGGTGTTGAGCCTGATTGGCAAAACCCTACTATTCAGGGTTTCTGTCAACAAGTTCAATGTGGTGCATAATTCCCACATGTATACTGCAGTGCGTGTTGTTGATGATGAAAAATGGCTAAAGAAGTACAAGACAATTACCAACCCTAAACAGGTTCTAACCTTTTCAAAACTTATCACTTTATATGTACTATCTTTTGATACGATAAATGAGTTACAAATCTTCTATAAAGGACCTATTTTTTGGATTGGTTATGTTTAGTAAAGTGATTTTAGATATTGGAATGTCATGAATTGTGTCCATGTATTTTCATAATTTTTGTAACAATTATCAACTGTAGGGAACTATCTCTTCCAATGATGGAGAGGTCCTAGGCTCTCAACCAGATCCAAACATGGCAAATAGTCCACTTGTTCGTACCAGCCTAGTTGATGATAAAGAAAATGATCCAGATGTCAACAAAAAGGTGGTCAATGATGAACAATATAGCACACTAGAGAAATTTGTGGTTCATGATGAAGAAGACAATCCACAGGCCAAGGAAAATGAGGTTGATATTCAAGAACTTGGAGCACCAAGTGTGGCGTCAACTTTGCTGAAGAGAAAGAGTGTTATGAAGACAGAGAAAGTGTTCAAGAGAAAGTCTGCAGTGTAGCTGATCACCAAATCCACCACTTTTCCTATGCATTCTGCAAGTTTAAGCTTTTTTTCATAGTTCATTAAGGATGTTTCTATGTTTCTGTATTTTCGTTTCAGACAAGGTTTGATATTTGTTTTCTTAAAGACTATCTCTGTTAGTATCATGAAGATTTAGTCCTTCGTATGATAGCAGCTATGTTTTTTTTTCTTCCTCTTCTCAGTGGATTTGTTTAATCAATGAAAAAAGAGACGTTTTTCTAATGATTTTGCGTTTTTTTTTTTTTTGCTCCTTTGATGCTATGAAAATCCAGAAAATTAGTTTAGCATTTTTGACAAAATATTGTAGTAGCTATGTCAACTTCGGTGAAATAGCATTAGGTTCAAATCAGGGCCTAGCCTAAGGTGTTCCCAGTCATGCTTCACATAGTCAAAATGTATTAGTCATTCTAAAGAATAATAACAATAGTCTTCATAATGTGTTGCTCCGGGCCAAATAAAACAATCCCCTTAGATCTACTAAAACAATACAGTAATTTCAAGTTTTGTACTTGGAGATTAATTTGTTAAAACAGGGTTATTCGAGGAACTACATTTGTTCAGTAAAAATATAGAGCTTGAGGAAACTATAAATTGAATATCCACTTTCAAACTAGGAAGTATGTTTGGAGTTTAGACAATTTTGCATATGTTTTTTGAAACCAATATATTCAAATTGTAACCGAATATAGGAACTCAAAAAATTGACATTAGGAGTGCTTATCTTCTTCAACTCTACATATCAAACACGAAGTTAATATTTTCTCAAAGATTAACTTAACTCCAAATGCATTATGCTCATGATTTTGAATTGAAAAATAATAATAATGAATGCGTGAATGAAAAAAATTACATTTTCAGTTTCCAAACAAGCATGCAGTTCCGAATTGGGAGAAAACCACTCCCCACGTTTGCATGTTTCATCAAAATTCAATTTTTAAATTGTAACTCAACACAAATGTAATATTGTTGTATAAACATACAAAACTAATATTTTTATAGAACTCCATATACAGTTGTTAACTTCATCATCTACAATGGATGCAGAAATTGCTGCCAAAGCAAGAATGAGACGGAAAAAAATATTGGATGTAAGGAGATGTAAGGACAAACAATTACGGAATGACGAGAACTCAACACCAAACAAATCCAGCATAATCCCGTCGCAAAGAACCTTTGGTGGCTTCTTCTTTGTCAATCAGACCAAAAGTCCAAGTTACCGGCAACAAAGTTTCCATGAAGCTTTCAACACTTCCTTTGATAAAACACGTACCTACTGCAAGACTAACGATGAAAGATCAGCAATGAATGATATTACGAATGGTACGACTCTTTTCAATAACTACTAATTCCATAAGCACTTCTTGCTACTTTCAAATGCATCATGTCTACATTACATACTCCTTTTTTGTATTCAGATTCTATTGCTCCAAATGTAACAACACTCACAGTACCAGCAGAAAGGAAAAAGGGAACATCTCAGAAAAGCAAGAGCACAGTATTATCAGACCCAAAAGTTCCAAAAAATTGAAAAGAATTACTTACTCGGCAGGTAAAATGTCACATTCACATAAGTTACATAAACATTCTAATGACTTTTCCATGTGAATATATATGAGTTTGAAACAATTTGCAGCACATTCAACAACAAAATTTGATACCAACACAACTCCCATTATGGCTACCGTTTCCACATTTGAAACTGGGGAGAGCAGTAACAAGGGAAAAACTCAAAAAAAATCCAAAAAATCAAGATTCTCAGCCTCATTTTGTACCCAACCATAGAAAATCACTACTACATCATCAGGTGAAAATACTCAAATTTAATTGTTCATATTGAAATTGAAAACTTTTTTTTGTCGGTACGTGATACTAACTTTTACAGATCATTGTGTGTGAAATTTAAAAAACACAACCACCGCACCTTTCAAAAGTAAACTCTCATATGGTGACAACTGCAACAGCTGCACTACCTTCCACATTTGAGATTGGAGAAAGCAGCAAGTCTTTAAGTCCTGGAAAATACAAGATAAAAGGCAAATCAATCACTTTTACTCCACCAAAAATTATTGCAGAAGACGGTGTCACAAAATCAAAGGTGATGAATACTGGATTTAACTTATTGAATATTAATCTTTTCACATGACTTAACATAAATAGGAAATCTTTTAGATTATTAGGATGTTGGTGATCCCATTCACACATGTGAGTATTGTGGTGCAAAAATGTGGTATAAGAAAAGATGCAGAAGTGACCGACATTCAAAGAACCCAAAATTTTCACTCTGCTGCATGAAAGGGAAAGTGCACATTCCATTACTGAAAGATCCACCTGCAGAATTGAAGGAGCTATACATGTCCGAAACTGCCACAAGCAAAAAAATTCGCGACAACATTCGAGCTTATAATTTTATGTTTTCTTTCACATCTATGGGTGGCAAGGTTGTCACTGAGGTGAATAAAACTCGCGATCCATTTGTGTTCCAGATACATAGTATTAATTAATGAAAAAATCAAATAATAATGAACCAAATATACCAAATAAATTCAGTGGCTACACCCAAGCCCTAGGTTAAAAGAATTTAGCCACTAAACATTATCAAAAATAATTCAAGAATATTTAGAGACATCATCCAAAAACAATCTAAATTAAATAATTAAAACAAAACACCCGGATGAAGGTATAATTCCCGAAGAGCTCCCCGGCTTTGCTAGCTTCAAATTTGCACAGGTTTTTCTCCTCCTCGGCTACGGCTTTAAGCCCTTCCGGCTACTGCCTGCTTCCACTCGCTCTTCCCCGGTGATGGCTTGAGCTCAAGGTCTGGTGGTGATGGAATTCGTGGATGATGAAGAGGGAAGCAAGGTGGTGTTTGCTGCTGCTGCGTGGGAATGGAGGAGGATGGTGCTGCTTCTGTTACTCTCGGCTGCAAGGAACTCAAAAAGGGGCTGCCGAAGTGGTTTTGTGGTTGAAGGTCAACGAGGTGGGCTGAAACAGAGGTGGTGCGTGATGGAGAGTGGAGGCTGGTGGTGTTTATGGAAGCTAGGTGAGGGAGGTGGTGCGTGGGATGATGATGAAGAGATTCGGCAGAGAAGGTGTAGCAGGGTGGCGGTGATGGTGATGATGAAGAGTTGACAATGGTGAAGAGGAGAAAGCTGCTACCGCCGGTGGTTTTGGTTTCGGTGGAGGTTCGGTCAAGTTCGGTCAGTCCCCGTTCTAAAAATAAATCTCTAATCCTTCTTTTATAGGCTTCCGTCAAAACCGTACTTCTTGGAGAGTAAGAAAACTTGTTTACCAAATAATATCGGGATTAAAATTCTTACCCAATTCTAATCCCAAATCAGCCGCACAACCTCTATTTCGGCCAATTTCCATAAACCAAACAAAATTCCAAAATTGCTTCTTTAATCATCTAATTTTTCAAGTACTTCAATTTCTTCCTTGTCAATTATCAAATCTTCAATTCTCCTTTTGAGTTACTTTTATCTTCATTTTAGCCCACAATTTCAACAATTCCTCCAATTGAATACAATTCCTACAATCAAATATAAAATCACATAAATAGCACATTTGTACTCAAAATATTGGCAAAATTTCACATAAAGGGATATTAAAAATAGGTAAATTATGAGCACATCAAATACCCCCAAACGTGAAATATTGCTTGTCCTCAAGCATTCCCAAAAATCAAAACAAACAAAAACATTAAATTATTTAATCAGGCGGCCTCAGAGATTTAATCATCATATAACACATAGACTTCAACTACCTCTAGTATGGACTACCTAACAATGCAAACCATATGCACTTTTAGCCCCCACGCTTGTGTGTGTGCGCGATCCGTTTCTCAGGGACATCACTTTACATTTTAACATAGAAAACAAAAGCTCTACTGCAAATATGCCATATATTAACACTTTAACATAGATTCACATTTCACACTATATTTCAATGCAATGGACCACCAGACATGCTATGAAGTGGAAGGACTTATCTCACAGACAACCTATTCCCCCTCGTAACCCATTCTTCGGTCCATGCAGCTTTTCTTCAGGACTCTTTCCAACTCAGGCCACTACCCAGAGCATTTTTCCACTCATTTACATAGTGGCTCAGCAACTTAGGGCAGTCTACATATCTATTTTTCCTCACCAGGCCTGAGGACTCTCTGCTCAGGTTGCCAATTCCTCACCTCTCAATGGGGCTAGCATCAACATTGAATGCTCTTCCTTTTCTCCCTCATTAAAATTTAACCTAACCTCAGAAGCATCCGCCAACACCCCTCCCCCAAACTTACTTAACACAAAGTTTCAAAGCAATAAGGTTTTTTAAGGCTGATATTGGGTTAATGCCTTGCTTTTCCTTCACAACATAATGGGTTCCACGTACAAATCATATAAGTATGAGTGAATCAAACACAACTTCCATGGCATATCTACATCAAACTTATGCAACTATATCTCACTTTAGGCTTATCCCACAGTCACGACTAAGTACATAAAAAGCAGGGTATTCAAAGCAACATATAGAAATACATAAGTTAAGCAATACAATTCAAAATAGCCTAATTCTTACATGTTATAGATAATTAAACCATCTTCATCATAGGCCTTGTTGGATTTTTCAATTTTTTCAATTTTTTTAATTTTTATGGGTTTTTTATTTAAGAAAGATAAACACAAAACACCAAAACAAACACAAAACACAAAACAAACACAAATATTCCTCTCCCCCACACTTAAAGCATACATTGCCCTCAATGTATAAAACACAAAAGACAAGACACCCAAGTGAAAAGAAAAGAAAAGACATAAAACAAAATGAATGAAAAGAAATGACACGACCTTGAAAATGCAAAACAGAGGACCGGAATTGTTGAATAAATTGTTGCAACTGCCATCCAAGCACACGACCAACTTCTTCAGACTTTTGGATGTTTCATTTTCAGCACCATTGGACACCAGAGTTCCGCCCTTCCAACAA